ATTGTACAATATAGAATATAAAAATAAAGTGGCAACATTTGAAAAGCATTAAAAAACATTATAATCATTTTTCTCTAATAAAATGAATAATGTTTTATTTATATAAATGATTTATTTAGAAATGATTATTTTTCTACAATTCATTAGGTAAATATTAGCCAGCACGCTGGATTTAATTATTTCGATCAGCGACGATATATTTGACACCAGCGACAAACGTATTGCCACACATCAAAAATATTGCGTCTCCTCTGCGTTCCTGAAGCGCCGCCGTACACTAATCTGAGCGACCAGTTCGCCATCTCCCCCAAGATAACAATTAACAGTGTTTCCTCTTCCACTTTCCACGGAGGGAAGATGAACGCGATCGGACGCATTTGTAAAATTCCAATTGTCAAGAAAAAGAGAAAAAAGAAAGCTAGTCACCTGATCCTTGGAGCCGGTCGGCTGACCCGGCGCTCTCTTCAACCCGTCTCCTCCACGGCTGCAACAATGGAATGTCCCTAAGCGTCCCCATGTCTTCTACACAGTGTAAAGAACGCGATGACGCAAAGACCTTAAGAGCGTTTCAATGGAGGGGGAGCGAGACTGAAAGGACAGGTCCAAGAGCAAGAACTTTAAAAGTTCACGCAGCATGCGGAAGGCGGACGCAGACGCTCAGGTCCATGTAGCATACGAAACCCAGACGCTCAGGTCCATGTAGCATACGGAACCCAGACGCTCAGGTCCATGTAGCATACGGAACCCAGACGCTCAGGTCCATGTAACATACGGAACCCAGACGCTCAGGTCCATGTAGCATACGGAACCCAGACGCTCAGGTCCATATAGCATACGGTACCCAGACGCTCAGGTCCATATAGCATACGGTACCCAGACGCTCAGGTCCATATAGCATACGGTACCCAGACGCTCAGGTCCATATAGCATACGGTACCCAGACGCTCAGGTCCATATAGCATACGGTACCCAGACGCTCAGGTCCATATAGCATACGGTACCCAGACGCTCAGGTCCATATAGCATACGGTACCCAGACGCTCAGGTCCATATAGCATACGGTACCCAGACGCTCAGGTCCATATAGCATACGGTACCCAGACGCTCAGGTCCATATAGCATACGGTACCCAGACGCTCAGGTCCATATAGCATACGGTACCCAGACGCTCAGGTCCATATAGCATACGGTACCCAGACGCTCAGGTCCATATAGCATACGGTACCCAGACGCTCAGGTCCATATAGCATACGGTACCCAGACGCTCAGGTCCATATAGCATACGGTACCCAGACGCTCAGGTCCATGTAGCATACGGAAACTGGACGCAGACGCTTAAGCTTCACAAGAGGGGGAAAAAAAAAAAAAAAAAAGTAAAGCGTCACCAGTTCGGACGTTACAGATGAAACGCGTCCAGCGCGGAGTCCGCGTCCATATTTTCAATGATCTATCCTAGATACACAAAGTTTATTGAAAACACGGACACACCTCCTGCTGGACGCGTTTCATCCATAACTGGGCTGCGTCCGTCCACGAGTCCCGTTGGTGCTACAAATCCTGCAGAGTAAAAAATATATTTTCCATGAACTACCGATATCCAGAAGTCAGAGGTGGCGCGGCGCGGCGCTATTTATACCCCCCATGAGATTTCGGAAGCGAGGCGGATCCACTAAGAGCACGAGCATTCCATTTCCATACGTCAGGGAAGTCTGGAGCGCTATCCTGCGGCACGTTGCTCCGTCATTATGGAATAGAACGGATTTCAATCCCGCTCGGTGGTGGAAAGTATCCGAGAGAAGGTTCCTGCCGATGATCGTCCCGGGACCGGCGTTCTGATCGGCTCGACGCAAACTTGCCGGCAGACTGATCACGGCGAATGAACTTTGTAACGAATGAGATTTGAGGAGATTTTCGGACGTTCACCTTGTAAATTGTTTCATAAAAAATGATTGAATTATAAAAAGGAAATAAAACAAAAAAAAGGGATCATTTCGGGATCGAGCGACCAGAGGATCAGCCCCCTGCCCCCCCCATACTGGACGCCTACGATCCGCTCCTCCCAGCGTCCAATCACCAATCAGTCAATATCAGAACTCGGATCCTAAATATTGATATCCAGAGAATGAAGAACGACACAAAGCAGAGAGAAAAATTACAGAGAAAACCTCCCCCCTCCCCCGCTCCATCCCCAGGCAGGAAGAGATGCAAAGTCCTCCCATAGACCTTTCTGTTTTAGACCCCCTGAGGCCACGCTCAGCTCATGGTGGTCAGGGACCAAAATAAAAAAGGGAGTTTAAGGGCCACTGCATGGAGTGTGTGTACCGGAGTTTTGGAAAACAGATCAGACAGCCCTACCCTAAAAGCTAGAGGGGACCCCCCCCCCCGGAAGCCAACCCCGAACATCCGA